ATAACCTAGGATAAAGAGATAGCTGGAAAACGAGAACAGCAAATTTTGAGGTTGAGGTATTTCTCATGCCATTTTGGGATTTTACTTGGTCATGTGTAGTTCGTTGATTTGCCTTACATTGTCCGTGATGGTTTTCCTTTTATTTTGTTGCTGATTCAGAGATGAAGAGGCACACAGCTGTGCGCACTCCTGCTGCTTGGTTCCTACCCACCCTTCGGTGGTATATGTAGAGGCAGGACTTGATTGGTGCTGGGTCTGCTTCAGTGACCCCAAAACGTCAGCTCATGTTTTGCGTACAGTGGAGAAGGGGTTGCAGTTTAGACAGCACAGTTACTTTTGGCATTTTTTTCTTATAAAATTTCTGTCTTTAAGTAGCAACCTTTAAAATGCATGTGATCAAGTAATGTTATGCCACATCAGTGTCGTCAGAGTAACAGGGCTTGTTCAGCAGCACAGTGAACCAGGACTTACAGTCTTTCAGCAAAAAGAATACAGCTGCTTTTTTGTCTTTCTAAAAGAGTCTTTTGCCACCTTCTCTCCCCTTTGAATAGCTCTTCCTCAACTTCTCACTTCCACTCTGCCCCCAGCTGTTGGCCCATCTCTCTGTCTCCCTGCTGTGTCTGGGCTCAGGGACCCTCCCTCCCATCTGTCCTCATTCGCAGGGGTGGCAGGGATTATGTTTAAGTAGGCTCAGGTATAGCGATTGGGAAGGCAAGAGGGCATTGGTGGTTGTTGTAAAGGCTGAGAAAAGCAATGGAAGGAAAGTGAGTGTGATAATGGAAAGAAAGTCCCTGTTTCGATGGGCTTGGCCGTCATTAATGAGGTTATTTAGAAGATTAGAAAGGTGTACAGGCAGGACTTAGAGAACTTTCCCCCATGTCAGTGGCCCCTAATGCGTTAGGCAGAACATCCTTACCCACAGAGGAGCTATTTTTGCTTTGAGAGGTTACGACAGATCTGGCTCCTCTGTAAAATTAAGAGTAAGTCCCACACACCTTGATTCAAATATAGAAAATGGCCATATTTTAATTATGTATTTCTAGGCCAATCATGAAAGTGAGAATATATGTAGGGAAAAAGATGTAGGAGGGCAAAAGGAAAGCTTGGCCACAAGTTTTATCAGGCAGGAGGGTGGAGGGCGGAGGTGTTGGTGCAGAATCTGGGGCGGGGGGAAGGGGTGGTGGGGGAGGGACCCAGAGAGGGGAATGAGCATGGTGCTAAACTTGGGAGAGACAGGAAGCCTTAAGAGTTTGTTTATTTTGGAAGTAAAACCTATTTCCCAGTGAAAGTTTGTGTCCTGTGAATTTTGATGATTTGTCAGTTTGTCAGGTGATGACCAGAGGTTTAGAATCTGCAGCGTAGCCAGAGGGCAGTGCGTACATCTGCAGGAGGATAGATAAGCACCACTGGGCAGAGCTTGTGTCGTGCATCCTGAGCAAAGTGACGTTGCCCCTTTGATGATACCTTACACGGTTTGGGTGTTCGGCCCCTCCAGATCTCATGTTGAAATTCGATCCCCAGTGCTGGAGGTCGGGTCTGGTGGGAGGTGTTTGGGCCATTTGGGCAGATCCCGCATGAATGATTGCTGCCCTCCCAGAGATGATGAGTTCTCACTTTATTAGTTTGCATGCCAACACTTCCTCCCTCTGCCTTGTGCCTGATAAAACATGCGGGTTGTTTAAAGGAGACTGACACCACCTGCTCTCTTTCTTGCTCATTCTCTTGTCATGTGACACCTGCTGCCCCTTCACCTTCCACCTTGACTGGCAGCTCCCTGAAGCCCCCACCAGAAGCAGATGCTGGTGCCATGTGTGTTCAGTCTGCGGGACTGTGAGCCAAATAAACCTCTTTTCTTTATAAATTACTCACCCTCTGGTATTTCCTTTATAGCAACGCAAACAGACTGACACAATACCTGTTCTCTTAAAATTTTAAGTAAAAGTTTTTTTTTAAGCTGTTTTAGTACCACATGATCAAGTGATGAGTGCCACGTTTTACAGGTGCATTGTCTTAGCAGGTAGTGCTGAGCCTACAGTGCCATGGCTGTGATGGAGGGTTATCAGTGTTCTCAGTTCACTTCTATGCATTATTTATAGTGGGCCACCAAGGAAGTTTCTGATTACTGTGTGGGCAGTGTTAGCCTGTTGAAAATGTATTTTTGTATTTCTGTGTGTGTACATAATATATGCTGTGTGTATAGATTGTGTGTAACATTGAATTATTTATCTTGTCTTTTTTGAGATAAGAAATAGCATCATATTTTTTGTTTTGTCTGAATCTAGGTCCAAAGCCACCTTTGGCTAAATTAAGCAATGTGACATGCATCCCAGAGACAACTTATAAATATCCTGATTTGCCTATAAATCGATGTAAGGAAGAGGTAAAATTATTTTTGTTAGACTGTAATTTTGCTGTTTAAATAAATGCCTGAGGCTCAACACTTTTGGTTTATAATTTGAAGATTGCTGGGGGACACATGCACAGTGCGCACGGCTCTGTGGCAGGTGCAGAAGGAGGGTGTGCTCAGGGCTGTGTGGAGGTGACTTTGTGTGATCACTGTGTTGATCTTTCTTTTGACTTGTGCTTTAATTCATTTAATCTTTGCCTGAGTACATCTCCTCTAACATTTAGTTTGGTATCTATTGAGGGTCTTCCCTATCTCTGAAATATTTGTAAGTAAACATTTTGTTTTCCCCAGAACTACTTATTTAAAGAAACTCACTGCTAAATCTTTTTATAAAGCGAATAATACACCCTAGCATTTCCACTGGGTTTTCTTTACAGTGTTGCCCCTATTTTCTGCCTATTAATTGGTTTGATCAATCACTGACATTTTACTAACAATGCCAGGCCAGATACAGCAGTAGGATGATTAAGTTTCTAATTAGTTGCTTGTTGTTAAGCATGGTTAAAAGTAAGTGTATTGAAACCTATATTGAAACTAGTGAAAAAAGCAATTACAGATAAAACTGGAAATGTTCGAAATTTAATTTTGTTTTTTAAGACAGAGTCTTGCTCTGTTGCCCAGGCTAGAGTGCAGTGTTATCATCATAGCTCACAGCAACCTCAAACTCCTGGGCTCAAGCGATCCTCCTGCCTCTGCCTCCTGAGTAGCTGGGACTACAGGCATTCATCATGACTCCTGGCTCATTTTTCTATTTTTATAGTAGAGACGAGATCTTGCTGTTGCTCAGGCTGGTCTTGAACTCCTGACCTCAAGCAATCCTCCTGCCTCCCACAGTGCTAGGATTACAGGC